AACTACAATGCCTCTAAGCTATAAGGGCTACAAATTAAACTTATCATTATTTATAATTTTTAAGGCATAAAACAATGAATTTATAATTTCTAGTCAGAAATTCTTATCACAGTAGAACTCTGGCAAATTAATTTTAAACACAGTCAACAGCATACTACTGTGGCTGTTTGTCAATTTCAACATACACTGCTTCTATGGATCAACAATGTGCTAAGTTCTGCCAGCACTGCAGGGAATAAGACACACATGGCTGCTATCTTCAGAGATGACAATATGGCTGTGTGTGTGTGCGTGTGTAGGAGGTTTCTTAATTTTAAGTTTATATAAAATATCAACAATTTTTTTTTTTTTTAGACAGTCTCGCTCCATCACCCAGGCTGGAGGGCAGTGGTGTGATCTCTGCTCACTGCAACCTTAGCCTCCCAGGTTCATGCAATTCTCCTGTCTCAGCCTCCTGGGTAGATGATTACAGGTATGTACCTCCATGCCCAGCTAGTTTTTATATTTTTAGTGGAGTCGGGGTTTCACTATGTTGGCTAGGCCAGTCTTGAACTCCTGGCCTTAAGTGATCCTTCCACCTTGGCCTCCCAAAGTGCTGGGACTACAGATGTGAGCCACCGCACCCAGCCAACAAAATGAATTTTAAAGTTTACTTAATCCCTGTAGTGAAATAGGTTTTCATTTTGCATCTTGAATTTATTACAAATTAACTTGATAGGATTAATTTACAATTAATTAATACAAGTTAACTTTCCAAAGTCTTAACATGATGATTGAGATTATAGGCCTTTTGATATATCACGTTATTCATTCTTGAGTTCTTTGGTGATTACTGACAGATGAATTGCTAAGATACTAAAAATAACAATATAGCTGATCTTCAAGTAATATCCCCAAGTTTTTATAGTAAAACATGAGATACTGCTGTTCCGAGTCTGAAAAATATATATAAACATGTTTAAAATCATTAAAAACCTTTTCACTCCTGTCACAAAATAGAAAGTATAGTTAAAATATAAAAGAAGAAAGCTAGGTTACAGACAATATAAATCTAAGGTTTCTCAAAAATAGAGGAAAAATGGAACAGACTTTACCTTACCTTCATAATTTTCATGATAACTGAAGAAAGGGAAGATGTCTTGTAAATAAATGATTTTTCCTAAATACACTAAAGCCAACAAATTTTCATTTTATTACTTTCAGTTGGCAGTGGCTACTGAAATATTTTATGTGTGTGTGTATATGTATTTTTTGCCTTAGTGCCATATACTTTAATGACCTGAGAAAGATATTTCAATGCATAGGTGGGGCTTTTTGCTAGTTTATTGGCTTCAGAACGATGTTTTAGTTAGCCAATGTTTTACCATTTGGTAATATAAACAGCCACTTAGAATTCCAAGTTTTCTAAGTTTCCAATTTCATATTTTCCAAAAATCAACATTTATTCTTTTAAAGACATTTTACTTCCTCCAAACATTTGAAATAGCAGTTATGACAAAAACATGATTATCTCAATAGATGCAGAAAAGGCCTTCGATAAAATTCAACACCCTTTCATGCTAAAAACACTCAAAAAACTAGATATTGATGGAACATATCTCAAAATAATAGATATTTATGACAAACCCACAGTCAATATCATACTGCATGGGCAAAAGCTGGAAGCATGCCTTTTGAAAACTGGCACAAGACAAGGATGCCCTCTCTCACCACTCCTTATGTATTGGAAGTTCTGGCCAGGGCAATCAGGCAAGAGAAAGAAATAAAGGGTATTCAAACAGGAAGAGAGGAAGTCTAAGTATCTCTCTTTGCAGATGACATGATTGTATATTTAGAAAACCCCATCATCTCAGCCCAAAAACTCCTTAAGCTGATAAGCAACTTCAGCAAAGTCTCAGGATACAAAATTAATGTGCAAAAATCACAAGCATTCCTATACACCAATAATAGA